AGTTGGAGACCAGCCTGGCCAACTTAGTGAAACCCTATCTCTGCTAAAAATACAAAAATTAGTCCGTCAGGGTGGCAGACACCTGTAATCCCAGCTACTCAGGAGGATGAGGCAGGAGAATCTCTTGAACTGGGAGGCGGAAGTTGCAGTGAGCCTTGGGCAACAGACAGAGACTGTCTCAGAGAAAAAAAGAAGAACCTACTTTCTCTGATGTAAATATTTATCAACACAAAATTTACAATTTTCATCCTTATTTTTTTAATTCTTTATTAGTTATAAATTACATACAGAATAAGTTATGAGGAATAATGGTGTAATTTGAAGCCATGTTCTTATCACCCAATTATCACCCAATTTAAGAAATAGTACCTTACTATTAACTTTAATTTCCTGGATGTTGTTTCCAAGTCCCATGTCTTTTCTACTCCTTTAGAGATAACCTTCATCCTGGAGTCATTGCTTCTCTGCCTTCTTTCTTTAGGAATCTTTTTATTTCCATAGGTTTTGGGGAACAGGTGGTATTTGGTTACATGAGTAAGTTATTTAGCGGTGACATATGAGATTTATATGCACCCATCACCTGAGCAGTATACACTGAACTCAATTTGTAGTCTTTTACCCTTCACCCCCTCCTACCCTTTCCCCCCACTCCCCAAAGTCCATTGTATCATTCTTATGTCTTTATATCCCCATAGCTTAGCTCCTACTTAAGAGTGAAAAACATACAATGTTTGGTTTTCATTCCTGGGTTACTTTACTTAGAATAACAGCCTCCAGTTTCATCCAGACTGATGCAAATGCCAGTAACTTCCTTTTTATGGCTGAGTAGTATTCCATCACATATATATACACCACAATTTCTTTATCCACTTGTTGATTGATGGGCTTTTGGGCTGGTTTCATATTTTTGCAATTGCGAATTGTGCTGCTATAAATATGCATGTGCAAGTATCTTTTTCGTATAATGAGTTATTTTCCTCTGGGTAGATACCCAGTAGTGGGCTTACTGGATCAAATGGTAGTTCCACTTTTAATTCTTTAAGGAATCTCCACACTGTTTTCCATAGTGGTTGTACTAGTTTACATTCCCCTAGCAGCATAGATGTGTTCCCTTTTTACCACATCCACACAAACATCCATTATTTTTTGATTTTTTGATTATGGCCATTCTTGTGGGAGTAAGGTGGTATCTCATTGCGGTTTTGATTTGCATTTCCCTGATAGTTAGTGATGTTAAGCATTTCTTCATATGTTTGTTAGCCATGTGTATATCTTCTTTAGAGAACTGTTTATTCATATTCTTAGCCTACTTTTTGATGGGATTATTTGGTTTTTTCTTGCTAATTTGTTTGAGTTCTTTGTAGATTCTGGATTTTAGTCTTTTAACAGATGTACAGATTGTGAAGATTTTCTCCTACTCTGTAGGTTGTCTCTACTCTGCTGACTGCTCCTTTTGCTGTGTAGGACCTTTTTTTTTCTAGTTTTATCTTGTATATTTTTATCCTTATACAATCTGTCATTCAATTTTGCAATTTAATTTACATGAAAGAATTTATACTGCCAGTATTTTTCCAGAACATTATTTTTGTTCAGTGCTAGGTTTCTGAGTTTATTAATGTTTCCTATGGCTCTAATTCATTCTCTCTCTCTCTCTCTCTCTCTCTCTCTCTCTCTTCTCCCCCCACCACCCCCCTCTCTGTCTCTGTCATTTCTCTACTGTTGTATAGTATTCCTTTTTGTAAATATGCTACCATTTGTTTATCCTATTAAAAACACAATGGATATTTGTGGGTTTTTTTCCCAGAAATCTTTTCAATTCCAATGTACTACAATCAACACACTTGTATGTATCATATGGTACACATGTGCAAAAGTTTAAGTGCATACTTCCTGGATCACAGAGTTGAAAATTTTAAGTTTATTAGAAACTGCCGAATTATTTTTCAAAATAGGTTTTTACCACCATAAACTTATATCTGCATTCTACGCACATTCTAATTGCTCAAAAATGCCAACACTTGATATTATCAGACTTTGTAAGCTGTAAATTCAGTGGGGTTTATTTGTATCTCACGGTGTTTTAACTTGCATTTCCCACTACTAATGAGCTTGAGCATTTTTTCAAGTGTTTATTCCCCATTCATATTTCCTCTTGTGTAAAGTGCCTTTACTAGATTTTTGCTTCCTTTTCCTAATAATGCATGAGTTTCTTATATATCCTAGATACAAATCCTTTGTCAAGCTCATGGTTCTTTTCACTGTCTTTATGTGGCTTTTGATGACCAGAAATTCTTAATTTTGATAAAGCAGAATTTATCAATTTTATATTTTAAGGTTAATGATTTTTTATGTCTGGTTTAAGGTTATCTTCCCACACTCTTAGCTTATAAAGATATTCTATTTTGTTGCTTTCTAAATATTTTATATTTTTGCCTTTCATATTTAAGCAATAGTAATTGATTTTTTTGGTATGGTGTAGGTAGACGTTCAATTTTATATTTGTCCTTGTGGATAACCAATCATTTATTTAAGAACCAGTCTTTCCCTCACTGATCTGCTATGTCAGCTCCATGTGGTATATATGTCAATTGTAGGCATGTACAGGTTTGTCATATACCCATGTGTATGTGTTTCATGGTTCTCTATTCTGTTTCATTCGTCCCTTTCCCATATTTGTACCAATTCCATGGTCTTAATTAGCACAGCTTTAAAACAAATATTGATTAGCAACTTTACCAACTTCAGACCGTTTTTCCAAGTGTATCATGGCCATGTTTGGTCTTTTTCTATTGTATAAATTCTAGAATCAGCTTGTCAAGCTTCAGGCATACACATAAAAAATGTTGGGGATTCATTGGAATTACACAGAATCCATAATTATCTTGAAGAGAACTGACATATTTATTATATTGAATCTTCTAATTTTTCTGTTTATGTAAGGTTACTGTAAGATTTTTCAATACAGTTTTATAATTTCTTCCATTAAGGTTTTTCAAATGTTATAATAGATTTACCCTTAGTACTTTGTCTTTTATAATATATAAATAATATACTTTAGACTATATTTGTTGTATATGCATTGTTGTATAGAGATATACAATTGAATTTTGTACTTTGCATTCAATAAACTTACTAAACTCTCTTATTAATTGTAATAATCTGTGGACGCTTTACAATTTTTTATGTGAACCCATGTATCATCAGCAATTAGTGACAGGTTTATTTCTTCTCTCTCATTTCTAAAATTGCTTTCCTGTCTTACTGCACTGACTAGGACATCTAGTACAGTGTTATATAGAGTTGAATATAGTGAGTGTCCTTTTAAGTTCCCTTATCTTAAAGCGAATGTGCCCAATGTCTCACTATTAGGTATAATGTTTAATACAGACTTTTGTGTGTCTTCTTATATTAAGTAAGGAATTTGTCTTCTCTTCCTAGTTGCTAAAGATTTTTGTCACATATTTGTCACGCATGTTGAATGTGATGATTATTTGTCTCATATTCTTTAACCTGGGCATAGTCATCTGTCTCCACTGAAACACAAGGATGTGAAAACTAAAACTTTTGTTCTGGCTGCAGCAAATATCTTTAAGAAACAAGTTAGGCACAGTGTTCTTTTTCTATTTGATTTCCTATTTCCACTCAGGTGTGGGATATTCTTCAAATCCCTTACTTTCTTGCTAGTTTTATGTTGCATTTTTTAAAAAGATACATTCAAATTTTATCTAGAATTTTTGGTTGTTTTCAGTGGTGGATAGCTCAGTACATTTGGTCCACTGTCCAAGAAATAGAATTTTTCCCTTGCCTTTCTGTCAAAATAATATCCCTTATTTCTTGTAGCTCATCTCCTTTAGATTTCCCTTTCTATCATCATTTGGAAATTATAACTTTCTTCAATCTAGTTATTTATATTACTTTCCAAACCTTCTCCACCCAACTTTCCAATTTTTTTAACAGTTTTATGTATTTCTTTAAGATTGAGGTTGGTCAATTGTATGAATAGACTGTTTTGTCACATACTTAAACCTCTTTGTGTCTATCTCAGAGACGATAATATTTTCAGTTCATGAAAGCAAAAATATGTGCTCTCTTCTCCTTCTGACCACCTTGGAATTCTGTAACTGCATATTCCAGTTGCTGAGTGCATTTTGTTCTTTCTTTAGTAAACATTGTATGATTTATGATCAAATCTTTCTAGCTTCCTTTTCTATATAAATGGAAAACATATCATGGGAAATTTAATAAGTTCTCCTATGAACAGAACTATATTTCATACAAATGTTTATGCATACTGAAAAATTCTTAGTGGAAATTGAAAATCAGAAGGATATTTCATTCTCTTTTTGTTTTGTGAAGCATTTCTGGCCGGTCGCAGTGGCTCACACCTGTAATCTCAACACTTCGGGAGGCTAAGGCAGGAGAATTGCTTGTGGCCAGAATTTGAGACATCCTGGGCCTCCTAGCCACACCTCCTCTCTACAGAAAATTTAAAAAATTAGCCAGGCATAGTGGCACATGCCTGTAGTCCTAGCTACTTCAGAGGTAGAGGAAGGAGGATTGTTTGAGGCCAGGAGTTCAAGGTTACAGTGAGCAATGATTGTACCATTGCACTCTAGCCTGGGCAACAGAGCAAGACCCTGTCTTTTAGGAGAAGAGGGAAGCGTTCTTGATTCTCCTCACTTTATTTAATGTTTTGACTGTTTATAGTACTCATCGTTTTCTAATATGGATATATATTTGTTATTGATTATGTTTGTTTCTTACTTTCTTCCCCCAGTAGAATGTAAGTTCCACAAGGGCAGAACCATAATCTGTTTTGTACATGACGTATTCCAAACAGTGCCTGGCATAGTGTAAATGCTCCATAAATATATGTTGAATTAATTAATGGTGTACAATATTTGCATAAACAGCAAAAAGAAAAAGAAAAGTTTATGATTTACTTTTCTCAAATGGTTTGATATTTTCTTAATCAGTGCTGTTTTATTTTATGCTTTCAGATATTAACATGGCAGGAGAGCCCAAACCATACAGACCAAAACCCGGAAACAAGAGGCCCCTTTCTGCACTTTATAGGTAAGTAAATAAGCACCATTTTATTACATATATTAGTGAAAGTTTCTTGTAGTTTTATAAGGCAATATAACTTGTAAGGCATCCACTATTTTAAATAATAATCCTTATTAGAATAAAGTACAACAAAATGTTGTTGGTCAACATGTAAATATATCTTGCTGCATTGGCAAGGATCTCAGATGCCTAACCTTCTCATATCTGCTTATGTAATCCTTCTACAAGATACTTATCTAATAAAATCTAATAAAAATTACTAATGACTCTACCTGAGACCTGGTTGGAAAGGTCAATGTCGGTTGACTCTCTCACCATATATATATATAGAGAGAGAGACAGAGATGGAATCTCTCTCTCTTACCCAGGCTGGAGTATAGTGAACAATCTCAGTTCACTGCAACTTCTGCCTCCCAGGTTCAAGTGATTCTCTTGCCTCTGCTTCCTGAGAAGCTGGGATTGCAGGCACCTGCCACCACGCCCAGCTATTTTATTTTGTTTTTTTATTTTATTTTTAGTCGAGATTAATTTTTACCATGTAGGGCAGGATGGTCTTAAATTCTGACTTCAGGTGATCTACCCACCTCAGCCTCCCAAAGTGCTGGGATTACAGGCATGAGCCACCATGCCCAAACTGTGGTTGGCTATTAAATGCATCCCATGTACTGTAGATATTTTACATATGTCATTGAATTTAGTTTTTACAAGACTCTTGCAATGTATATATTCCTGTTCTCATATTGCAACTCAAGAACCTGAGATGCAGTTTCTTAGAGATTTTTCTCAGGGTCACACCACTGACTACCAATGGTGCCAATACTCAAACTCATGTCCTCTGTACGTTAAATTCTTTCCATTCAATCAATCAGCCTTCTTTATTACAAAATACATGTTCCTTTAATGCTCATTTTTCCCATACAACAAATGTAGTTCTTCTCTTCTCCAGAAAGACAGATCAAGTTCCTTTAACCTTTCCCAAAGGGCTTGGGTCTGAGTCACTTAACACTCTGGTCTTTCCTCTCTACATGCCCCAATTCGTTACTGTCTGTATCTATATTGAGAACCTAGATGGAGAAAGTAGACCAGATGTAACACCTTTGTTGTTCTGTATATACTTCTATTATGTTAAGTGGAATTGAGTTGATTTGGGAAAAAGTACAAGAGTAAACTTATATAACTTTTAGTTCTTTAAAAACAGCCACTACTGAAAAAAATTATGTTCTGCTGTTAAACCATATGTCCCACTTCATGTACTTTTGCCATTAGTTTTTGTACTGTAAGTGCTGACTTTGTGTCCATCGCTGTTAAATTCCCTTTTGTTAGATACAGCCAATTGTTCCAGGCTATTGAGATCTCCTATCATCCAATTTATTTAGTTTTCTCCCGGATACATATCATCAGTCCATCAGTATCTACATCCGAAGAGTTAACATAAAAGTGTTGAGCAAAGCTTCCTTTTTTCCTGATATCATTTGGATAAAGGAGAATTAAGTTATATGTGTTAAAATTGATTATTTTCTGATTTAGTATAGTATTAAGAAGAATGCTCAAAGATAGCCTGGAGCTCTTTCCTTGTTTTTGTTCTCTGAAAACTGGAATATCTTCTTTGCAGCCACTTAGAGCTTCATTTTCTGAACACTAAGATGAGGGTCAGAACCAGATAACTTCTGAGGTTTTATTCATGCCCAGTACCCCAGGGCTCTCTACTGTATTCAGAGATTTTTAGAGCTATACTGAAAAATACATCATAATTTCTCTTACTTTGGTTTGTTTTTGTTTTGATAAAACATTTTATTAAGAAATGGAAAGCAATAGAACATAACAAATTTTGATACTGGGTCATGGGTTGATATTGACATTAAAGAGCAGAGATGAAATCAACAAGAAACAAATGACACATTCTATACCTTGCTTGAGATAAAGGACATGATTTATATAACTAATAAACACAAATTGTATTTTTATCAGATTCATTTGTAAATGTATGCATTTGGAGCTGCAGCTAATACAGAACATTTGAAAAGTCATATTTTCAATTACTGCCAAAACAAGCTGCCAATGGCTTCTTTTCTCATCAAAGAGTTACTACTGCCTGTGTAATGATGTTAATTTTCATATCATCTCTTTTCTTGGATTGTTTTGATTTTCTTATGAGACTAGAAGCTCATGACAAGAATAAATGTCTTTTTAACAATTATTTCTCTATTACTATTCAATTGTGTTCAAAAGAATTAGAAGCAGAATTTCATTTAAATATGCTATATTGCATAGAAGTGAGGAAGTGCTTATTTATTCTGCTTTTATCTGTTTACACAAATTAAGGCTGTTGTACACTAAAATTGCAAAACAGTAACAAAGAGAATACAAGAACGTGAATGTATAGCCGAGGAAGCATTTTTATTCACATTTTCTCATCCTTACATCAGCTTAATAAAAAGAATACCTTAATTTTATGTGGACAAACTATGTTTTCATAGTCATTATTCCTCTGTTCATCAGATAACTCTACAAAATTGGTAGTATGTACTATGCTTTATAAATGAGAAACCTGAGTTTCCAAGATGATAAAGGATTTGTTCAAGGTGAGATCACAAGATTAGGAGCTGAGCTCTGATTTTCAGCCTTCAAGTCTAATAATCTTGCCACTAGATCATAACTTCCTGTATTTAGTCACTTGCTACCATCTAAAAAACACAGATAAGGGAAGCAGAGATTTTCTGAGCATCAAACCAATCATCAGTCCTATTACTGTCCATGAATACCATGCCAGCATGTGGGAGAGGAAATACTATACAATAAACACTGCATTAAAAAAATAGGGTCATGGTGTGATCACAGGGCACAGGTTTTAAGCTTCAAGTAAGTTCTTTATGTAACATAATAGTTGTATAATTTTCCTGAGATGATAAAGTTGCATAGATGAAGTAAAAGCACTTCGTTCAATGTAGAGAATATAGTGGCAGCTTGGAAAAGGGATGGTTTCAGCTTTCCTCTTCTTTGTATCTCTGAGTCTGTTTTCTTATCTATAAAATGAAAGAGGGGGAATTGTTTCATTTGTTCTTTCATTGATACAAGATATATTTATTGTGTGTATACTATGGTCTAGGGGCTGTAATAGTGCTTCTCTAGGAAACTGGTATAGAAAATGGCAAGCAGCAGGGTGAAGAGAGAGAATAATGTAATGAAAGTAAGTTATTTATATGAAGGTAGTCTCTGATTTACCTTTCTGCTCTAAACTGCTATGTCTGCGTAACTATTCTATTTGGACCACTAAGTGAACTGCTGTCTGACTTTCTTTTTCACCTACATCTACTTTATCTCCATTACCAATCACACAGTGGTATTCACATGAAATATCCGCTGAGTCATAACTTTGTTTTGTTTCTTCTTTTAATAGAATTTTCAACTCAGCCAAGCAAGCTTCATTAAGGCCTTATTATGTGCTAAGTAAACATGGTATACATAGAAGATGCAAAAATAAAATGAGACTTCAAAAAACTTACAGTCTTATGTATAAGCTAGATGCATCGATAAGTAAAGACAACTGAGAAGTATGCATACACTTCTATAAAAGAATAAACGAGGGAGTTACTGATTCTGTCTAGGGAGAGGGAGTAAAAATATCTGGAAAGTTAAAGGAAGGAGACAACACTTGAGCTGGTTTTTGAAGGGAAAAAGAAAGGGAAAGGCATCTCATAGTGGGGCTAGAAAAGTCTGCTTGGTGGAGAATGGAAAACTGGGACATTATGGTTCCCAGGTACTGTGAATGTATCTTCAGGTTAAGGAGAGCTGACTCCTTTTATTTGGTAGGCAACAAGGAACCACTTAAGCATGGTGACTGATTGGAAATGGGGTGTGAGGAAGAGGGAGAGTCACAAACATGTCCAAGATTTTCTAGTTCAGGCTACGGAGGGAATGATCACATGATTTGAATAGAAGAAATAGGAAACACATGATAAGCAGTGGCAGGCTCAGGTGTAAGGTCAAGGAAAGGGAGCAAAAAGGAATTATTTCAGTCTTGGACATGAATTCATAAAGACAGAAAATTTATTAAAATAGCACTTCAAATAAAAATGTCTCCCATTAGAGTCTATTTGTAAATGAAACATAATTAATCATTTGTGAACATTTCATAAACATTAGACCTGGTCCTAATGGTGAATAGCTAATCCATTCTCTAGAGAAAACATTTTAATTTTTAATAAATTGCTGTTTCAAATATGTTATGTACATTACACAGTATCTGTGGTGCTTTAAAATAATAATTCTCCCCCAGGAAGTGAGTTTTCCAGCATGCCAACTTTCAATTAATGCTCAATAATTGCTAAATGAGAATAACTGTATGATTGTTTTGCTTCTGTTTGTAAAGTAGACAGACTTTTGCCATTTGATGTAACATGAACAAAATACGTCAGAGAACAAAGACATTATTTATCAGAGCTGAACAAGAACAGATTTTTATTTACCTACAGGTGAATCCCTCCTACTTGCAGGGAATTCAGCTCAGTAAGACATGTAGTACATATGGTTTCATCCCATTGATTCTGTAATGATCAATCATTTGGTACTATTGCCAAATATTGCTTTTGGCTATCATACAAATACCTCTGGTGGCAACATTCCCATCCTACCCAGATGCCCATGAGAATGAAGATTGCCACCACAAGTCATTTCAAGAGTCTTTAAGATTGTCACAAGATAACCTACAGTTACAGCCACCATTTTAAGATCACAATTGGTGATGGTCACCACGAATGTGGGTTCTATTATAATAACTTCAGTGATAAAAAGATAACTTTCAGAGTACAGACCACTAAGGTGACTGCGGCAAAATATCTCTGGTGATTCATTCAAGACTGGACCTCCGTGAGTTTTGTTTTCATCCTTCATGCTGGCTGTAGCACATCATGGGAAAATGGACCCTCAAATCACCTAAAAGGTCCCCTAGAACACTGAAAATAGAAATTAAAGTAATGGAAGCTATTTTCAGCTAGTGCTAAATAGCA